GGCATTCTTATTTAATAAATTCTTTGCATGTAAATATTGCTTTAATTGTTTTATAATTTTTTGTTTTGACATTGCAAATGATGAGAGGTTTTTTTTGTCTTGATGTAAGCAGTGTGAGACATGTTTTACTACTGTAAACCTAGCCAAAACAAGGTAGGCTACTCCAAAATCATTCTTACAACAGTGCAAAGAAAACAAAGTAAAAAAAAGACTATTTATCGAGAGGTACCAGTTAAATTATTTATTGTTTATTCCATACCTAGTTAAAAATAAATTTTAGTATTTTACATAAAAAATTATAAACAAAAGAAATTAAGTTAGATGGGGGTTTCAAAAAAGATATTTCTAAGATCCAATACAATATTTACAACTCACAAATTACAATGAATTAATTTCTTTGAAAATGATCTGTAACAGTTTTGTGTTTTTGAATATATTTTTTTGTCTCTACTTCCTTGTTTCGTCACTTGCATTTTGTCAGCAATTGAAGCAACCGGGTGGTGTAAGAGGGGAGGGGGAGGGTCTATGACCTTGAATGCACACATCGTTGCCCGGCCTGGCTAGTGAGAGTGATTCATTGTTTTTTGTTAAGATACTACTACTACCCTTCCTTCCGAAAAAAAGACCCTGCTGTTCCAAAAACATTGACAGTAGTTTAAAAACATTGACCTGTCTTGCTAAGGGCACTAGAAGTTAGCATTTAACTTTCTTATCTCTTGATTTAATATTATTTTAATCTTCTATATATTATAAGAGTTACTTTTCGAGTACCTAATTAATTGTGATATTGTTTGACTTTATTTTATGGATTTTAAATTCTTTTCATTCATTAGCGATCTCTTGCAGTAGGTCTACCTACTGCACAGAACTACCACAGAAAACATACTACTGTAGTATGTTTTCTGTGATACAACTGTATGACATGATTTTTTACAGTCTTTACTAATTATACCATAAACAATGTGTGTGTGTGTTATTTACTGTTTTTAAGTTTTATAGTAAACTAGCTGGCCCGACAGACTCCGTCCTGTCCTAATGTGGTTTTATATCAAATGATCGTTCATTTTCAAGATGAGCTCGTTTGCATGGCTCAATCATGTCCTGATAGAAATTCGTTTGCTACGGTCACTCACCTTTAGGTTAGAGTTCGTTCGCTACGCTCACTCACCTTTGGGTTGGAGCTCGTTCGCTGCGCTCACTTGCCTTCAGGTTAGCTCCTTTTAATGCTATTGGACATCACAGAATCAAATTGTTTAGTTGAACCAGCTGTTAAGATTCTTTAATTCCATTTAATTATGAGTACGCATAAGGTTAACATGGGAAACTCCAGAGCCACTGGGGCGGAGCCCTTTTGACGGATCTGCACCAAACTTCACACAAACCATCCTTGAATAATGCTTAATAATGCCTGAAAGTTTCATTACAATCTGTTGAGCGGTTTCGGAGTCCATAAAGGACAAACATACAAAGATACATTGGATTTTATATATATAGACTAGCTGTAACCCGCGGGCTTTGCCCCATTTAACTTCTTAATTTTCAAGATGATCTCGTTCGCATGGCTCAATATCGTCCTGGTTGAAGTTCGTTCGCTACGCTCACTCACCTTTAGGTTGGAGCTCGTTCGCTACGCTCATTCACCTTTAGGTTGGAGCTCGTTTGCTGCGCTCACTTGCCTTCAGGTTAGCTCGTTCGCTACGCTCACTCACCTTTTGGTTGCAAATTAGTAAAATAAATAATAGTGCTGCACCCTGTTGGTAATCCTTGTAACTTTAATGCTATTGAACATCATAGAACAGAACCAACTTGTTTAATTGAAACAGCTGTTAAGATTCATTAATTCCATTTCTCATAAGGTTAACTGGGAAACTCCAGAGCCACTGGGACGGAGCCGATTGGACGGATCACGAAATTGATGGTGTTTAAACCTATTCCATGAAATTCTACACGTATGTACCAAGTTTCGTGGCAATCGGTTCAGCAGTGGCTGAGTTTATCACTGCCAAATAATAAACTTGACTTTATGGGGGCGACTGATTGTGTTGACAAATGTGAACTTTTTGCGAAACATTTTTCATCTGTATTTTACAACGCTGACTTTCCTGTTCTTGCATTTGATTTTGGATTAAACGACACCATCCCCCATTGCTCAATCTTGGCTACTGTTGTTGAAGAGAAGTTGAATGCTCTTGACCACAATAAGAGTGCAGGTCCCACCTAAACAATAGAGAAAAATAAATTATGAAAAAAATCGCAAAATATCACAAAATATCCATGAAATTAAAAACATAAACATAACTGTAAACAATCCTACTTTGACAGTTAGTTATCATTGCGTAACACAGTTTTTTGTTGCTCCTTAGTTCAAATTAGCTGTTTTCATAAATGCAAAATAAATATAGTGCTGCACCCTGTTGGTAAATCTTATAACGTTTTAATGCTTTTACATATCATAGAACCAACTTTTTTAGTTGAAACAGCCGACTAAATTCTTTAATTCTCTTTAAATATGAATACTCATAAGGTTAACATGGGGAACTACAGAGCCACTGGGGCGGAGCCCGAAAGGATTTTTGAGATAAGAATATGCCTATATGTTAATCGGGAATGTGAGCTATCATTATGCCAAATCTCAACCCAATCCAGTTGTTAATGCGTGATTGAACTTCATACAAACAAACAAACACACAAACTTTCACATTTATAATATTAGTAAGATTCATAAAATTGTTAAAAGATTATTTTCAAAGAAATTAATTCATGATAGTTTGTGTCTTGTAAATATTGTATTACAATAAAGTCATTTTACTGTTTTAAAATATGAAATGCCAACTAGAGTTAGAGATGAAATTTAACAGCCATTACAAAACTATTATTTTTTTTTCTTTTATGATAGAATAGAATTGGGTTATCATAATAGTTATTACGCTATAGTAATAAATGAAAGTCAGCTAGTAATATAGAAAGCCGTAAAGGATTAAAAGTTATAAAACTCAAAAGTTCTTGGAAATACTTGTCACTTGAGTACAACAATTATTGTCGTGGATGTGGTAATGCTATTGGGTTTTTTATTGCATCAATACCCTAGTAATAAGTTATGAAGAACCTAAACAAACATCTGATAAGCCTTTCATGTGCTCAGAACCAACTACCGTAAATTAACTGAATGTTATTTATTATTATAATAGGCTGTACCAAACCGAGTTTGTACCGCGTAAAAAATGCTGTACCGAACCGATGACGGTAATTAAGCTAGAACCATACCGTACTGACTTTTTCGGTGCACCGCAGACCCCTAAAATTAAGGTATTTATCAAAGCGTGGTATCAAAGCTGTTCAATGCCCTCTTTAAATAAATCTACCGCCTGGGAGTTTAACCACTGGTTTACACCGGCATAGAGTTCAGCATCATTGTCAAGGCATTGCGTAGCGAGCCACGTCTTTATTGCTGGGAACGGATGGTAGTCACTAGTCGCCAAATCTAAACTGTACGGTGGATGATTGAAAACTTCCCATCCAATAACTCTTGGGTACGATTGGCTGTGTGTGGATGGGCATTGTCATGAAAAAACAAACCTTTTTCGTTAAGTTTTCCACGATGCTTGAATTGGATCGCACGTCTTAATTTTCGGAGTCTTTCCCAATACCTCTCTGAGTTAATTGATTGGCCACGTTCAAGAAAGTCTACCAAAATCACCCCCTGAGCGTCCCAAAACTCCTTAGCCATGATTTTTCTTGCTGATAGGGTCTGCAAACACTATCGGTTTCTTGGGCGAATTTGTGTGGCTCCATTTTTTTCGGCTGCCTTTTTGTTTCAAAGTTGACGTGCTTTACCCAAGTCTCGTCACCAGTTACGATACGATCAATAACACGGTTTCCACGTTTGTCATACTCTTCCAGAAATGTCAGTGCTGCAGTAACTCTTAGTTTTTTGTTGTCTTCTGTTCGCAATTTCGGAACCCACCTGGCACAAGATTAGTGGTATCCAACCAAGTTTACCAACCACTATTTCATGGACTAAACTCCGAGAAATTTGAGGACAATGTTCTGAGAGTTCTGAGATGGTAAAAATACTATTTTCACAGATTTGTTTATCGATTTTCGCCACTAATTTATCAGTCATAATACTAGGCCTACCGCTGAACATAATCGTTATGAACATTGGTTCAGCCATTTTTAAAATCAATGCACCACTGCCTCACTTGGCTTTCACCCATTATTCCTTGGCCGTAAACATCACAAATCTGGTGATAAATTTCTATAGGTTTTTAAATTTTCGCCAACAAAAACCTTATCATACCATGCACTTCACAACTGGCGCTCATTTCAAAACGCCACTGAATACACAGTACAGAAGTCATGATGTTCTAGCTACCTCGGCTGGCTGCGTACTGAGTGTGGGAAGACTTTGACACCAAGATGGCGGTCCTATCCCCGCCCACTGCCGGGCCAGGTCAAAACGTTTGCAATTTTCTGGATAGCCCTCGTATTTAAAATCCTCGACTATTTTATGTCCAAAAATATACAACAGTTATTAATAATAAACTAGGTTTAATAATTTTAGGGAAAAAAACATACATGAAGAAATATTTCATCGAGTGATTTCGCAAGAAGCTCTACCGTACTATGGTTTTGGGTACTTACATTTTCTTTTTGTGAGAGGTATAGTAGGTTTACCTGAATGGAAAAGAGTACCCTGGCACCTGAAACCTGAAACACCTAAGTGACACATCATAATAGGTGAGACTTTATTTCACCACACACAGATTAAACAAAAAACCAAGATAAATAATGACAAAAAGATTATTAATAATCAAACTTTATTAAAACACACTCAATCACTATTTTGAAATGATTGAGAAAGATGTAACTGCTTTCAAAAATTTCTTCCATTACTACTCATATTTTTAAAGAAAAATTATATATACTTTTCTGCTTTTTAACTGTTGTGTTCTTGAAAATGAGCAATATAAATGTGCTTACTGAATTTTTTATTTCAGATTATATCTTCTGTTGGGAAAGTATGAGTCCAATGTTATAGCTTGCCGACTTGCTCTTAATTCAAGTGACCGAGCCATTGAAGCCTATGATCTACTTGTTTCTCTTCTTGATTCTCACCTAAACGATGAAAAGTAAGCACTAAAAAGATGATAATCACTTTGATCTTTACAGTCTATGTAGTTTTTACTCAGGCCCTATGTAGTTGCATATAATACAATTATTACAATGTAGTTTTACTCAATATGCTAGTACTAACTATTAAAGTGTTAATACAGAAACGTAAATATAAAAACCACTTAAAATATACAAGTTTAGGTTTAAAGGTTTTAATAATTATGTAAAATTAAAAAAAATAATAAATAAAAATTCAACCAGTAAATAGAGTTACATTACAGTATTATATTTCGGAAAAATGTATACACTATATTTATTAAATGCGCATTTTACTTTATTTGTAAAAAATATAAAATATGATCCATTTCTTATTCATTTTTGACTGAGGAAGAACATCTAAGGGGCCACGTGCTGGACACTGTGGTAGAGCCGTAGAGTTTAGTAGTCCACCCCCGCCTAGTCAGCTGATTTGTATGTAATGTTGTATAGTGTGCGGGTAAGTGAAGAAGAACAGCTGAGGGAGCTGATATCTTGTCTGAAGGCTGAGAGGGGACGTGTGCGGGACACTGTGGTAGAACTAGAAAGTTTAGTGGATCTGCCTCCCCCCCCATACACTACTCCTGCCTCTGCTGGACATTCCCGAAAGCTTGACTTGGAGACTGCTGTCCTTATGCAGGTAATCGATAGTTTATGTTTACACCCTCAAATTTGAAAACAACTATCCAAATGTACATGTTGAAGGTTTAAAAACATAGTAGATTGGTCACAAAGTGTGACGCAAAATTCTAGGGAGGGAATAAACTAGTATTCACCTAAGTCAGGCTAGGCCTACCCTAGAACCGGCCACACTCAAATTTCTTCCCCGGAGTGCTCAGAAGGAGCCGAGAAAAATCCAGGGGTCGATACGAAGTTGTCACGGCTTTGACTGATCAATTTATTTAAATTTAATCGAAGGCTCAGAGCTCAGGAAATGTTCAGGAAATCCTGCAGACGCTCAGTTGGAGCTATATATCATCCTTACCTTCGTTAAAGTGTTTTGTTAAATTTGCCTAACATTTGGAATGACTCTGTAGGGCCGACGAGCATTCAATCCTAGCCAATGTGATGTAAATACTCGTATTAAACTTTAAACTAATTTCTGAAGACGTGGGTAAAGAATATAAAATCGAATGTAAGGTAAAACACTTCCTACAGAGTCGTCGGGGCCTAATTAATATAACTGAACGGATAATTTATCGTGATAGGTTTAAAATAAATTTAGTATTAATTTACGTAGCTGATTGTTCAAATCAGCTTCTCCCAAGACTAGGTTCTCTCGCCCGCCAAAGACGGGGTTTAGAACTCAGACGACAAGTCTCGGGGCACTAAAATGGCGAATTAATTAGAGTAAACGTACGTAATAATCATTCGTAGAAATCGTAATTTGAAACTAATTGGTTTAAATCAAACCAAACGATAATCACCGCTAGTCACTGGCAAGCAGGAACTGGCGGGTCTAGAGTCAAGTCGGCGAAATTTAAGTTATTAAATATCGAATTTGGAAACGGGAATGCGAATGTTAAAAGGAAATTTAAACGTAAATCGTAGCAATGTGATTAACTAATATAGCTAACCTTCGGTAAACAAATTATCGATGATCGTGCAAGCGTTGATAACAGGCGAATGTAACGACGAAGTTACTTCGAAGACGGCGTACGAACGAATAATCCTGTCTGAGTAAAATCCTTCGTTCCTGCCCGCTCGAGGCTTACGCGCTCAAGCGGCGAACTCAAGTACTACTCGATAACAGCTGATCGAATTCACTTGTTGAGCTGGTCTAGTTTCGTCTGTCGTCTGTCAACAAATAAACACCAGTTTGGGGTTATGTCGTCGTCGGCGTTAAATAGCTGTAAAATCGGCCGGTTTAACTTTATTATGTGAAACGAAGTGCTATTATGAATAAATATGTAGTTGTGGATGTGTTTGTGTACTTCACTGTGAATAAAAATAGGCCTACGTTCTTTGGCCCATAGCCCAAGCTATGGCCAACACATAGGCCTCGGAGTAGGCTATTGTGGTTAAAAATCGGGTAAGTTCTGATGTTCATTTATTCGTAGTACGTTTTTACCCCCCTTAAAATTTGGCACCTTACACCCCTTACCAACTTCAGCAAAAAAAGAAAAAAAGATCTTAAACGTAGGGGTTCGGATGGGGTCGGAATGGTCTCGAAGAAGAGGTGCGTGTAGAAGTCGTCGTTTAGTCGTAATCGTTCGTATCGTATCGTATCAACCAACGGGAGGGATATCACCAGCTCCGTCGGGGCGTGAGTCGGAGTTCGTTGCGTTGTTCGATACTCTTCGGTTTCGAAGAATCTACGTCGTGTCGGGCGTCGTCCACGAGGCACGTCGGCCACCTCCGATGTGAGGTGACTCACCACGACAAGGCCCGATTGGCCGTCGTTCGTCGCGGTTGGCCTCGATGCGTCATCTTTCCGGTCTCGGCGAATTAGTACGTTGGAACGTTCACGAGGCACGTCGGCCACCTCCGATGTGAGGTGACTCACCGTGGCCAGGCCCGTTTGGCCCTCGTTTGCCACGGGTTGCCTCGGGAAAGCGTCCTTTACGATAAATTGCGTTACAGGATTTCTGGGATACCTCTGTTTGACAGGGGTTGCAATGGCCCTGAGCCACTGCGTCTGCTCAGTCAACGCCGACTACCCCTAATCGTTGTCAAACAGCGGTATTTCGCGTTCCAGAAATTCTGCAAATTTCGTGTTTGTTTTTCGTGTAATTTTGAAAATTTTGATTTCGTGGTTGATGTTTTTGACCGGAAAGGGCGGGGAGACATCGTCGTTGTGGAGGTTTCGTACTACGGTGTGTACTCTGACTAGAGCGAGGTCAGCAGTACACCGAATGCCGAGTACCACCTCCACACTTAGGCCCGGGACGTGGATATCCCGCGAATAAGGTTGGCCAGCAATCGTCGTCTACTCGGTATCGATCCGAAACACACGCTGCGTTGTCCATTCGTTGGTTGACGTCAGTCTGGTCGGGTACGACGCCGCACGTCTGAAAGTGACGTACGATCTCGAATCAGACTGACTGACGAGCCGGTATCGACGAGGGCGCTGAACGTCTCACCTGAGATGACCACGTCGACGAAGGGTCGGTCATCTCTGGGGGGCGCGTTCGCGGCTGACGGTTCCCGTGAATTGCGTTATGAAATGGAGCAAACGGCTCCACTCGGAGGTCGTACGGCGTCGGGTAAATCATTGCGTCTATCGAACGTTATGTGGTGATCGTGTTCCGTCGTTGGACCGAAAAACGTGATGTGCGACGGAATATCTTGCCTGCGCGATGGGATGTTGGCTGGCAGCTTTACCAACACTTTGAGGGTTCGTTGAACAGGTGAAGAACGTTCGGTGGGAGTCCGAGTATCTCTCGCGCGCTGGCCGTCTCCTTTTGCGTTGAAGGAGGTTCCAGCAACTGCGGTCGAATTCGGATATCATGGGCCGCAGAGGCGGTGGTCCACGATATCGAAGTCACCGTCGGGTTCATCGGCTGACCGATGCTTCCCAACGGGTTTCTCAAAGACTCGCAAAAGCGTTTGCGAAGCTCGGCGACGCTACTCCCAGTGCCCAGCTGATACTTCGTCGTCTCAGCTATTACCGTCTGCTCAGTGTGGCTCCAACCGACGCGCGGGTCGTCTATCGGCGATCTCGGTAAGCTCTCCATCGTCGAAGGAACTTCGGAAATTTCGTCGTAGTTGTTATCGTAAACGTTTGAATTTCCACCGTGTGTATCATTACGTGGCTAATCGATAACGTATTGGGTCAAGTAATGGTCGTCGTAGTAGTCGAAGTCGTCGTAGATTTCGTTTATCTCGTAATTTCGTTTAAATGTCGAAGTCAAAACCGTGTTTTCGAGTCCCTGTTCGGGCGCCAGAGATGTGACGCAAAATTCTACAAAATGACAGTACAAGGACGTGAGGCCGAGGAAGCTCAGTCCCTGTTCGGGCGCCAGAGATGTGACGCAAAATTCTAGGGGGGGGAATAAACTAATATTCACCTAAGTCAGGCTAGGCCTACCCCTAGAACTGGCCACACTCAAATTTCTTCCCCGGAGTGCTCAGAAGGAGCCGAGAAAAATCCAGGGGTCGATACAAAGTTGTCACGGCTTTGACTGATCAATTTATTTAAAATTTAATCGAAGGCTCAGAGCTCAGGAAATGTTCAGGAAATCCTGCAGACGCTCAGTTGGAGCTATATATCATCCTTACCTTCGTTAAAGTGTTTTGTTAAATTTTGCCTAACATTTGGAATGACTCTGTAGGGCCGACGAGCATTCAATCCTAGCCAATGTGATGTAAATACTCGTATTAAACTTTAAACTAATTTCTGAAGACGTGGGTAAAGAATATAAAATCGAATGTAAGGTAAAACACTTCCTACAGAGTCGTCGGGGCCTAATTAATATAACTGAACGGATAATTTATCGTGATAGGTTTAAAATAAATTTAGTATTAATTTACGTAGCTGATTGTTCAAATCAGCCTACTCCCAAGACTAGGTTCTCTCGCCCGCCAAAGACGGGGTTTAGAACTCAGACGACAAGTCTCGGGGCACTAAAATGGCGAATTAATTAGAGTAAACGTACGTAATAATCATTCGTAGAAATCGTAATTTGAAACTAATTGGTTTAAATCAAACCAAACGATAATCACCGCTAGTCACTGGCAAGCAGGAACTGGCGGGTCTAGAGTCAAGTCGGCGAAATTTAAGTTATTAAATATCGAATTTGGAAACGGGAATGCGAATGTTAAAAGGAAATTTAAACGTAAATCGTAGCAATGTGATTAACTAATATAGCTAACCTTCGGTAAACAAATTATCGATGATCGTGCAAGCGTTGATAACAGGCGAATGTAACGACGAAGTTACTTCGAAGACGGCGTACGAACGAATAATCCTGTCTGAGTAAAATCCTTCGTTCCTGCCCGCTCGAGGCTTACGCGCTCAAGCGGCGAACTCAAGTACTACTCGATAACAGCTGATCGAATTCACTTGTTGAGCTGGTCTAGTTTCGTCTGTCGTCTGTCAACAAATAAACACCAGTTTGGGGTTATGTCGTCGTCGGCGTTAAATAGCTGTAAAATCGGCCGGTTTAACTTTATTATGTGAAACGAAGTGCTATTATGAATAAATATGTAGTTGTGGATGTGTTTGTGTACTTCACTGTGAATAAAAATAGGCCTACGTTCTTTGGCCCACAGCCCAAGCTATGGCCAACACATAGGCCTCGGAGTAGGCTATTGTGGTTAAAAATCGGGTAAGTTCTGATGTTCATTTATTCGTAGTACGTTTTTACCCCCCTTAAAATTTGGCACCTTACAAAAGTACTAAACTAAATTACTTTCTCACATTCAGTCATGTGGGTCTATAAAATATAAGGAAAAATTTCCTCAATTTATTACTTACATAAACTTATGTTTTGTTAGGAACTGATGGCAATGAGGGAGGATAAGGCAGAGCTACGGGCCAAAATTTACTTGTTGGAGAGGGAAAAGGAGAATCAGGAATTGAAGGTAGCAACTTTGCAGTCTCAACAACAAGCTCATCTGGCAACCATACAGCATTTGCAGGCTCAACTCCACGAGGCCGATACTGAGGTGAGGAGGTAAAGGTTAAAACTGCTTTGTTATTAGAAGCATCCGGCCTTGAATACAAGTTGTGTCGATTCTCAATACCGATTCTGGATACCACCAATTCAATTAAATTGGTATTGGTATCGAGAATCAACATTCAATGCCCGTACCAATATCCGACTTCTGCGAAGATGGCGCAATTGAAATATTCATGCTTTCACCACAATTAGTTCCAGTTGATGACGGACATTCCTATGACTGTGGTGTGGTAGAAGATTAATTATTATGTCCACACGACCATGTGAAATGTTCATAACAAAACCTCAACTTCAAATTAAAGCTAAAGAAGTTGGAGTTGTGAACAAGTGCGCTTTTCTCCAGGGATGGAGGGGATTGAATTTTGATTTCGGGACGGGACGGAATTATTTATGAGTTATCTAATGTTTTTACCGACATTCTTCTGTCTTTAAAACAGCATATAGTAATAGCCTAAGATTAGCCTTAGCTTTCTAGACTTTCTATTGTTCTGTTCTTTACATGATTTATTGCTGTATAGTGTTAATAATTTTTGTTTGTTTGAGTGAAAGTTTGAGTAAGCTGTAATTTTTAAGTTAAGATTTTTATTTTTATTACTGAACCAAGGTTAATAACTTAAAAGAAAACACTATGTGTTTATAATGATTTATCAAGAGTTCCATTTCAATTTTCCCACAATTCATAGAACGGCTGAATGATTGTTTAAACTTTATTTCTCGTTCTGGAAAACAAATAGCCCTTGCTGGGGACTTTAACATACATCTGGAAAAACAGTCTAGGGAGGAAAATGTATTCTCCAATCTGCTCCGTACTTATGGACTTTACATTACAAGCCGAAAACCCACCAGAAATACTGCCTGCCTTGATACCATAGCAACAAATCTGAACACTTGGGAATACAGAACGTCTGTCGTTGACCCTACTGTAGCTGATCACTCTGCAGTGATTATGCAGATAAAACCAAGCGAAGACCCTGACCTAGTCAGTGGGCAACCTAAAGTCCCATGGCAGGCCAGCTACACTGTTTCCAAACAGATAGTCAGAGATGAGCTCCTGCCTGTTCTGAAGTATGAACTGAGGAAAGTTGATTGGGCAAATGAAACAAGTATAGGCCTAACTCAGAACCAACTGCCTTTTGACAGCTTTATCAGTGTTTTTAACTATAAATTCAATTCTATCTTTCCTACAACAATTTTCAAAAAAAAGTCAAATAGGCCTTGTAATGCCAGGCGTGGATGTGCGCAGCAGGATAAACCTTGGTATTCACCTTACCTACGTCATCTTAAAAACCTCATTAAGATTATCAATGACCATGTCAAGTCCACCGAGTCACCGATTGAGAGAAATAAATTATTTGCCCTATATCTTAAAACAAATAGGCTGTACAGAAATAAAGTTTCAGAGGCCAAAAAGGCTTTCAATGTAAAAGTTATAGAGCAGTCCTCGAATCAATGCAAAGCTGCCTGGAGTATCGTTAACCAGCATCGACCAAAAAGGCCTAAAGTTGGCTGTTCTGCCAGCCCTGATGACTTCAACGGCTTCTTCCTTGATTCCGTGGATGAAATAGTGGCCAGCCTACCCTCCGTCAACTTTAACCCTTTGAACAACGTAGTGGGACCAGGTCTTCGAAACTGGCGTGAAGTAACCCCAGAAGAGATCTGTCAGATTGTTAAGAACTTAAAGAACTCTAAAAGCCCGGACATCTATGGGGTCTCATGTAATGTTCTAAAATCTGTAATCAGTGATATTGCCTCTCCTCTGTCATCGGCTATAAACAACTGTCTCAGGGATGGTATTTTCCCGGATTCCCTCAAGATGCGCGGACAGTTCCAGTCTATAAAAAAGGTGATACCGAAGAAATTAAAAACTATAGGCCTATATCTGTGCTACCAGTGTTGTCTAAGGTAGGGGTCTGCGGGTCAGACTTTTTTGGTTCGGGTCGGGTCGGGTCGGGCCAATAATTTTGGTCCTCGGGTTTCGGGCCAAAATCGGGTCGGGCCAAAAATTATTAATTACCGGATTTTTTTTCTTTTTTTAACTCCTATCTGTGTTTATAATATTACTTGAAAATAACATATGGAAAAAGATTGTATTTATGTATATTATTTCATGTTCATAACTTATTTACAGCTTAGGAGTTGCCTCAACTGCAAGAAAGAAGAAAATAATTTTTTTTATCAAGCCATTCTTTCCCATTTTCATAACTGTTGAAATATCTAAACAGCTATATTACAACAAGTTTGTAATGGAACTTAATATAAATGGATCATAAACAAATCAATTAACCTTATCACAAGTTTAGGGCCTGTGGCTTCAAGACTGCAAGCAAGAAGAAAATAAAAATTCTATGTTTCCACCATGCAATATGAATCATTCATTCCCTGCCTCCTAACCTCCTCTCACACTTACAATAGCATTATTAGTTACATCATCATAAATAAAGAATTATCTATTATTGGCATTAGTATGCCTACAGCTTTACATAGGAATTATTTTTTATAGGGCCTAAAATAGTAATAGACTAAGCAACATGACAAGTGGAGAACTCATTGAAGAAAAGATATTGTGTAAACTAATTTACTATAAAACTCTAAAACAATAAATAACACACATACATTGTTTATGGTATAGTTATAGTAAAGACTGTAAAAATTGCATATCATGTGATACACAGTCATAGATACACAGTTATAGGCACAGTAATAGGTACTAGTGTACATGTTGCTCGAATTCGAGCAATTGCAAAGTATTACAGGAGTTATTTCAAAACGAATAACAGTCATATTTACAATGAGTTTAAAATAGTCAACTCAAATATTACCGGTGTGTAACTCGGGCCATGTTTATCTTCGTTATTGATAAACCTAAAGCATTCCGGCCGGGTTTCTCCTTCTCAAAATGCCTCGCTGTACAGGCAACTCAGGTAATTGATAGAGGGCCTATTGAGAACGAATAATCGTTTTGGGGTAGTGTTAGGGCGCATTTGTAACCTAATAGTTGATATTGTCCAGGGTCAGGTGCTGACTGTGATGAGTTAAGCCTATACGCGCCACTATTCTGTAGCTGCGATCGTTATCACGACTACGCCTCCTGTCTATGTTTCGTTGTAGTCGCGTCGGAGGCATTTAAAAGAAAAAAAAAAACAACGAATAAACAAATTATAGCTACACAAAAAGAACGATAAATGCACAAATTTAAGATACAACCATACTAACACCTTTGACTATCAATACAACTTCTGTATCCAATAGTCAATGCTAACACGATCCGTCTTGGGGGTTATGTTTACAAAAACTCAGATAGTAAATAAATGTACTCAATGCGTTTCATTGAATTGAAAAATAAATAACAGCAATCAAATTATACAGCTGATCATAATGTAAACAAAACTATGTTCATCATAAGGATAACATGGGAACTTTCAAAGCCACTGGGGCAGAGCCCAAGGGACTTTTTCTAAAATGTAAGGGCAGTTTGCAAATCTGCGCTACACGCTCTTTCCAATGAGACGTCAATGGATAAAATCGGTTAAGAAATGGCGGAGGAGTTCAACCGACAAAGTTTCATGTAGCGTATTAATTATATAGATTGCAAGAGATTAAAATCCTAAAACAACTGATTTTAGCTAATAAATGAAAAGAATTAAAAATCCATAAACTCAAGTCAAACAATATCACAATTATTAGGTACCCGAAAAGGAACTCTTAATATATAGAAAATTATATTAAATCAAGAGAAAAGAAAGTTAAATGCTAATTTGGCAACATAAGCGACAGCAGAGACATTATAGTGCCCTAATTAGCAACACAACTCAATGTTTTTATACTGTAAGTCAATGTTTTTGAAACTGTAGGGTCTTTTTCTCGGAAGGAAGGGTAGTAGAATGTAAACAAAAAACCATGAATCACTCTCACAGCCGGGCCCGGGGACACTCAAGGTTACAGACCCTCCCCCTCCCCTCCCCTCCCATCTTACACAACCCGAGCCAGGCCCGGGGACACTCAAGGTCATAGACCCTCCCCCTCCCCCGCCCCTATTACACCACCCGGTTGTTCCAATTGCTGACAAAATACAAGTAACAAAACAAGGAAGTAGAGACAAAAAGATATATTTTCTTTATTCAAAAATATAAAACTGTTACAGATAATTTCCAAAGAAATTAATTCATGGTAGTTTGTGTCTTGTAAATATTGTATTGGATCTTAGAAATATCTTTTTTGAAACTCAATCTAACTTAAGAAAAAAATAATTTTACTGATGAAAACTTTCATAAAATTATAAAATATTTAGGCCTAACCTCTTTGTAGACTTGTTGATACTTGATACTTAAAAAAAAAAAATTAAATGGTGACCATAAAATGCCGAACCAGACGATCAGAAGTGTTGTTTTGTTTTGTTACTGAATGACAAAAAGGACAAAAGGAAAATAAAAGAACAAGATACAGATCTGTACACTATATCAGATATTTCTTTTGTTTATAATTTATTATGTAAATAAAATACTAAAATATAATTTAAACTAGGTATGGAGTAAACAATAAATAATTAAACTGGTACCTCTGGATAAATAGTCTTTCTTTTGACTTCGTTTTCTTTGCACTGTTGCGTCACGGCTTTTGTTTTGTCAGTAGACGACTGGCTCTGGCTAGTGACAGGCAATAATTGCTCTGTTGTGTCTTTGTTCTTAAACGTGAGCAAACTTAATATTTAATTCTAATTTTAACATGTTAATTCCTCTGTAATAATGTATATAAGAGTGTTTCTTTGAAAATTACTTATTACAACTTTAAAAATAGCCTAATAATTATTTTTTTTGGCCCGACCCGATCTTGGCCCGAACAAATCTCTGACCCGACCCGGTCTCTCGGGCCTTCCGCTGGCCCGACCCGACCCGAAAAAATCGGGGACCCGCAGACCCCTAGTCTAAGGTAATAGAGACTACGATCAAGAACCAACTATGCAGCTACTTTGAGTCGAACAACTTACTG